CTGACAGAGTGGTGTGGGAGGTGGAGCCCCAGTTGTCTGAGCCATGCTTTAGGGAAATTAATCCAGCAGAAACACATGATATAGATTAAGTAGAGTGACTTAGCATCTTGCAATCTTCTTCCGAACATCCTCAACTAGAAACGCTGGCCTATAATACGGTTTAGCAGCAGGAGTGGAGGCCATGCTAAAGAAGTTACAAAGCTTTGCTAACTCTGCCTCTGGGAACTGGCTGCATGGGGGTGGGGTAGGGCTATCTGAGACGGGAGCTGTGGCAGGCAAAGACCCCTCCGATCCCCAAAGATGTCCATGTCCTAATTCCCCAGACTCTGTGACTGTGTTACCTTACACGGCAAAAGGGACTTGCACATGTGATTAAGGTTGCAGCCCTTGAAATGCTGAGATTATCCTGGATTATCTAGGTGGACCCAATCTGATCACTCAAATCCTTAAGAATAGAACCTTTCTAGCTGTATCTCAAGAGAGATGTGACCACAGAAGGGTCAGGGAGCGATGTGAGATGAGAACTGGCTTTGTTGGCTTTAAAATGGAGGAAGGGAACCACAAACCAGGACATGATGTCGCCTCCAAAATCTGGGAATGGCCCTCAGTTTTGAGCCAGCCAAAGAGGGACCTCAGTCTTACAACCGCAAGGAACTGAATTCTGCCAACAATCTGAAAGAGTAAGAAACAGATTCTCGTCTACAGCCTTAGAAAGGAATACAGCCTGCTGACACTTTTAATTTAACCCAGTGAGACCCACACCAGATTTCTGACCTACAGAACTCGAAGATAACAAATTTATGTTTCAGTTAAGCCACTAAGATGGTAGAGATTTATGGCAGCAATTGGAAACTAATACAGTATCAGAAACTCACAACTTTTTGGTGGGAATAAGAGCAAGCAGGCCATGAGTATTAGGAGTGACATTTCAGTGAACTGTCACTATCTAGATGGCCATTCAGCAGCTAGAAATCAGAACTGGCTCTCCAGACAGACATCGAAATTGGGAGGTAGCCATCTCCAGCTGGCACCCCCAGAAGTGAAAATAGAAGTCCTAGGACTGGAAGAGAAAAGGGTCTGGGAATGAGAGATAGAAAAGGAATGGGGGAAATCAGGGAAGAAAGGCTTCCTGGTAGTAAACAACACCACAAAAGCTAAGGATACAAAGAATTAAAATGCAAGATACCAAGAGAGCAAAGAAGACAGAATACCACCTAAACTCTTAAGAATACTTGATCAGGGGTAGGACTGGACACCTGGCACAAAAGCGTAGGCAGAAGCAGAGAGAACTAGTCCAGACTATTCTACAAGAGGCCAGGCAAACAGGCTGGCTGGAATGAAAAGCAGGCATACATCTCATCTCCACGTGGTGGACACTGCTGTATTTAACATCTGCCTCAGGATCAGATCTGTGTGGTGCTCTAAGTTTTCCTCCCCTAGTGGAAACGACATATACAGCTGAACACATGATAAGCAGCACGGGTGCTCCTCTGCTACAGTGACACCTCTCTGCTCAGTGAGTCTTCATGGCTCCCGGGTAGAATGTGCAGCTCCAATCCACTTCACAGATAAAGCACCAAGAGGTTAGAGTGTAGCCATACAGCTGGCAAGTGATAGGGTGGAATTTGAACCCTGTCTGTTCACATCTCTAGAATCCTACACTCCAGGGGAGACCTAGGAAAGGTCAGTTTTGCCCCATTCAATAATTACTCGGTAAGAGTCACAGTAGAGTCCAGAACTTCAGACCCAGATTAACTGAATAAAAGAATGACTAGCCAATAAGCAAGCTGTCATAATCCCATTTCCACTTTAAGTCATGTTATATCTTGGGTGTTAAGATATTAGAGAGAGGGGGTGTGTCTTGCTAAAGAATCTCTAACTGTGGTTGAGAAGCCTGAACCTTAAACACCTGGTAGGGAGCCCCAAACCACCCTCCATATATTCACTCAACCTCCAAAAGCCCCAGTTAGAACTGGCCTGACACAACCATAGGAAACAGGCACAGGGAAAATAGGGAAATGGCCAAACCAGCTTCACAAAGCCGGTAACTACAAACGCTTATTGGAGGTGTGCGAAAGTTGCCAGAATCTGTGTGTGAATCCAGGCTGCATTAAAGGGGAAAGTCTGACTGCGTGCATTTGAGAGTCTACACCACGCCGAGCTGCATATACAGTGAAAAAGCCAAACATGCTCTGACCACTCACCATCACCTCCAGGGTACAAAGGCAGCATCTGGGGGGTGCACTGACAGGATTCAATACCCTCATATTGTAGGGAAAGGAGACTGTCTTTCTGAGCACAATTTCAGGACGAATGGGCAGTAGCCAGCTTGCAGAAGTGTAGGTGGAGCCCAGACGCACACTGGGCACTCCATATGGTCTCAGGCCCTGGAACCTAGGAGACAGCCTGCGTGGCTCGTGAGGAAAAGAGCAGCAGAGGAGTCAGGCAAGTGGACGAGGATTCTGGACTTCAGGCCCATGTGTACCAGACAGCGTATGGGGCAGGGAAACCACTGGATCCACTTAAGTCATAGGGGATCACAGTTTCCACTTACAGGAAAGACTGGAGTGGCAACAGGAAGACAAATCTGAGGCCATTGCTTTTTCTGTACATATGACAGCAGTTTGGACAGAGTAAGAAAAATCAAGTGGAAAAATGTGGTTTGTCCTGAAAGCCATGATTTTTAGAAGATGTAGGGTATACTTTAAAAAAAAGAAAAAAAGTTAGAGACTTGAAAGCCCAAACATTGAAAATACTTTGTAGTATCATTACGTATCTAATGGAATTACATGTTCAAAAAAGAAGCTGCCATATGAACACAAGTTAGCAGAAGTGACAGAATGAAAAATGAGGACCAGGCCTAATTTTGTTCCTTGAGTATTCTACTATACTTTTCTAATTGATAAATCAAGAATTGTTGTACCTGTCTGCAATTCTAAGGGCGTGCTGCATGCCATGTCAATGTGCGTATTTTGTACCCTGAAATTCAGGATGTAAGAAAACCTGTTGTGAGAGGGTCATATAAACTGACAATTTCAATGTCCGTCTAAAGCAGAAACCCCCAGTAGGCAACTCTTGTTCAGAGTAATTAATATGAAACCTTCTGCAGCCTGTGTGTTTTTAAAAGGGTGAGTGGTCGACTGTAAAACTCACCTAAGAATAGTCAAATTCAGCCAAACACTTCCGCTGGCCCAGTACAACCCCTGACCTAGTGGCCTGTTGGAACCCCTATCTGAAGAGAAAGGTTTTGGCAAGAAGTAGACCTTTGCAGGAATCTTTGCTTCCTTGCATCAGAAAATGTCAAGTGTTTTATACAATTAGTGACTGGTAAGTAGAAGTGAAAAAAGCCAACTAGATTAGCTAACAATGCTAACACGATGGGTCTGTATGTACCAGGCATATTCTCATTTAACGCAATGCCAATTTAAAGCCCATGTTAATAACCCTGGTCCACAGCTCTAGCTTATTTATCCCACTTGCCCGACAGTCATAAACAATTCGGGACAATTAAGAGTTCTCACCGTCAGAGTTAAAAGGAACGGGTCCAAACGTCTTTGGTGGGTCTAACATGAAAGTCAGGAACTGTCATAATCCCATTTCCACTTTAAGTCATGTTTTATCTTGGGTATTAGACATTAGAGAGAGGGGGTGTGTCTTGCTAAAGAATCTCTAACTGCAGTTAAGAAGCCTGAACCTTAAGCACCTGGTAGGGAGCGCCAAACCACCCTCCACACACACTCCACCTCCAAAAGCCCCAGTCAGAACTGGCCTGACAACCGTAGGAGACAAGCTCAGGGAAATAGGGAAACAGTCAAACAGGGTTCAAAAATCCGGTTCAAAGTGTGCAGGCCTAGTTAAGGTTCCAAGAATTTTCAGGAAGGAAAATTGGTGCCCTTCGTGAATGAGATGCTGGAGCCCCATGGTACTGCCCGGTACCCATGGGCATAGAATTGCTGTAGCAGGTACCCAACGTTAACCTCTGCCCCTCTCTCCCTCCAATACACACAACACTGGAAACCGCAGCCGGTTCTCCCCGGCAAGGCTTCCCTGATGCCCACGCTTCACAAAAGCTGATTTACTAGAAAGGCCCACTCTGGCTTCTAGCTGCGCGAGCCCCGGTCCCACGCAGACTGCTAGGAGGGACCTTCCAGACGCTGCTTCCCCGGCAGTCCAAGATGATGCAGGAAGTCCCCCAAAGGAAGACGAGGCTCGCAAACCTGAGCCGGCCGCGCCCGGGCGCCGACTGGCGACGTCCGCCCCTGGAGGCTGCCATCAGGATGTGCTGCGCGGAGGGGCCCCCCCCCGAAACGCCCCCGGGAGGCCGGACCGGCCCGACCCCTCGAGCGGGCCGGGCACCGGAGGTGGAGGCCGAAGTGACCGGGCCAGGGATGTCCTGGTGCTGCGGTCTACCCACTTCCTGCGCGACCAGGCTGCTCCGGGAAGGGGATCCCCAAGGGGAACCCAGAGCTTGCTGTACTCCGAGGTCAGATGAGACCCCAAGTTTCTAGTCACCAAGGCTCTGTGAAGGGCCACGGCCGTTTTGGCGCCAAACGGCCAGGGGCGCGCGCGACCGGAAGTGCCACCCTGCTCGCGCCAACAGCCGCTGCTGCCGCGCCGCACCGCCGTTGCCGCCGCCGCGCCACCCCGCGCATGCGCGGCCGTCTGTCAGCGGCAGCCACGGGCTACCCGGAGAGGAGGCGACCCCCCCACTATCCCCAGCGCCTGCCACCCCCCGGAGTTCACGGTCCCCGAGGCACCTACCGCCTACGGACATCGTCGGGCAGTGAGATGGCCCGGGAGGACAGCGTGGGCACGCGGGCCGGAGCAGTGCGGGCAGGCATTTCGGAAGCTGCAGCAGAGGAGGCGGCAGCACAGGCGGCCCTGGCTTTTCGCGCGGAAACCGACGGGGAGGGGCGGTGAGCGGAGGCGGCGCGCACCATCCCAGCCTGGGCGCGGGGGAAGGCGGGACGTACCATGCGGCCAGAGGTCGTACCATGTACAGACGGATGGAGTGGAGCGGGCCGTGCGTAGGGAATGCGCATGCGCGAGGTGGGCATGTAGTCCCCACCCTCGCTGAGCAGTGGGCTCGTCCAAACTCTACTGTTTGCGGGGAGCCTTGCCCGAGACCTTCATTCATTCAGTCTTTCCGTCATGCTGAGGTGAGAGACCCAAGGAGATTACGGTTTTTTTTAACCAAAAAAGGGAGGGGGGAGGGTCTTTCTAGTGACGTGGCAGTGTTAGGGTATGAAGGCGCATGCGCCACCCCATCCCGCTCTATAACCAACTGGTAACCAATAAGAAAAGGTTGTTTCCTTTTAAACCTGTAATGAAACTACAAAAAGAGAGGCTCCACGGAGCCCGGGCCGACATCAATAAACGCTGCTTCTCGCCAACGTCTCGTTGTTCTGGCTCCTTGTTCGTAGTTACCTCGGTTCCCGCAACATTTTCTGGGGGCTCCTCCGGGATTCGGAGAAGGGCGTATTCACCTCCTTTGTCGCCGAGGGATTGTCCCCGGGGCGCCGGAAGAGGTGACTGGCGCCCGCAGACTTGTTCCGTAGGAGACTCACCCTTCCCGACGGGTGGAGGATATAACCCGAATGCAAAACGGAACCTGGTGAGACGTGACAAACAGTGGGGAACCTTCCCGGTCTGACTGGTAAGAACCCGGGTTCAAGGTAGACGTATCTTAAGAAACAGAAGGGGAGCCTAATCACCTCCCAGGGTCGCCCGAGTAACCCCGATCTGGGGTGAAACCGCCACCCCAAGAAAAAGGGCAAGGATCGGTATTGTGAGTCTCTAGTAAATGGTGACTGTTTGAGACCTGGTCTGGTCACCAAGCCTGTGTGATTCGCCGGTCCATGGCTATCCTCATACGGTTTAGGGCAGCCCTCTAAGGAGAGATCCTGACTGGGAGTTAGAGTCCCACCAGTGCCTAGGGTGCCTGAAATATCTCCGCAGGCGGGAGACTGAGGAAGCCTGTAATAACCTTTCTAAATAACCCCACCCCCGAACCCAATTCCTTGTATGTGTGTGTATAGGTAAAGGGAGGTATGGGTGGTCAGCAGAGTAAGCCTACCCCTTTAGAGTGTATGCTTAGAAATTTTGGGAAGGGATTCAGGGATGATTATGGTGTCAGACTTAGTCCTGGGAAACTCTGAATGCTTTGTGAAATAGACGGTCTCCTTTGAGGTTGGATGGCCATCTGAGGAATCTCTAGATAGACAGTTAATCAGTAGAGTTTCCAGGCGATCACTGGAAGTCCCGGACACCCAGACCAGTTCCCCTGTATAGCCTGTTGGCAAGATGTAGTCCTGTTCCAACTGTCCTGGCTGAAACCATGCGTAAGAGAAAAATTGTAAGATTATGATGGCCTGAGTGGTGGCTTCTTCCAAATGTTCCCCTGATCTGAAGAAGTCTGTCCTCGCCAGTGAACCGGAGGAGACACCTCCACCGTATGTTCCCTCATCCATTTACCCACCATTAACAATTGCCCCACCATCAGTGGAGTCCACAGGAGAGCCCCAGGGCAGACTCAGGTGCCTAGGGAGGTGCCACCACTCATCCACCGTTCCTGCCACCATTAACTCCAGAACCTCCAGTTTTGACTCCGTACACCTGTCTGAGGGGCCGATCTGCCTTGGTCGGGGACTCCCCTGGTACTTACAGTCCAGGAGCCCTTCAGATGCCCCTGCGTGAGGCATGTGGCCCTATCTTCTATGACTAGGAAGGACATGTTCAAGGGAAACAATGAGTCTCTACCAACCATTCACTACCACAGACCTTTTAAACTGGAAGACCCATATTCCACCTTATTCTGTAAAACTTAAGGCCATGATTGAGTTGTTACAATCTATAATTCAAACTCATAAACCCACCTGGATGGATGTCCACCAACTCCTCCTAACGTTATTTAATACCAAGGAGAGGCACCGAAAAACCCAGGCAGCCATAAAGTGACTGGAAAACCATGCCCCAGATGGAACTCTCAATGCCCATGCATATGCCCAGAACCATTTCCGAGAGGAAGACCCCCACTGGGACCCAAATGATGACCCGGATTACCAGAATTTAGAATGGTATTAGGAGGCTCTTATAAATGGAATGAAAGAAGGAGGGAAAAGGGCCAAAAATATGGCCAAGACTTCTGAGATCCTCCAGGAACCCAAAGAGAGTCCAGCTCTGTATTATGATAGGCTGTGCAAGACCTTCAGGCTCTACACCCTTTTCGAACCAGAAGTGGATGGTTAATGCTGCCTCTGTCAGTCAGGCCCAGGCAGACATTAGGCATAAGCTACAAAAGCTTGAGGGCTTCACTGGAATGAATGTTAGCCAATTAATGGAAGTGGCCACCAAGGTTTTTGTTAACCTAGATCAAGAGGCTCAGAGGGAGACTGATAGAAAGATAAGAAAAAAACATGCCGGCCCTTCCTGATGCCTCAGCAGTGCACCTTGAGAAGTCATGAGGTCGTCCATGAGTTCCAATATCTGCCAGACTGTCCTGTGGCTTTAATGGGACATGATCTCTTGGGAAAACTCCAGGCCCAAATAACTTTTGACTCCCGAGGGCACTCAACCTTAACCCTTGGGGCCTGAAGCAAAGATGATGTCTCTCATGGTTCCCCAGGGAGAAGAATGGCATCTCTTCAGTTGCCCAAACTCCACCTTGGAAATCACTGAGATGCCCTTCCAGATCCCCAGAGTCTGGGCAGAAGATAATCCCCTAGGGCTGGCCAGAAACATTCTTCCAGTGGTCATAGAACTCAAGCCCAGGGCTGAGCCTGGGTGGCAAAAACAGTATCATGTTCCTCCAAAGGCTTGGGCAGGCATTCAGACTCCTAAAGCATGGCATCCTCTGGCCATGCCAGTCATGTTGGAATACTCCGCTGTTACCTGTCCAGAAGCTGTGGATGGAAGATTATCAACCTGTCCAAGACTTAGCACAGTGAACCCAAGCACTGTCACTCTCCACCCAGTAGTCCCTAATCCCTGCACTCTGCTGGGCCGAATACCACCAGAGGCAACTTCCTTCACTTGCCTAGACTTAAAAGATGCCTTCTTCTGTATCTGCCTGGCCCCAAAAAGTCAGCTGATATTTGCCTTCCAATGGGAAAACCCTGAGTTCGGGGAACATAGGCAGTTCACCTGGACCAGGCTGCCCTAGGGCTTCAAAAATTCTCCCAGCATATTTGGGTCGGCTCGAGGCTCAGACTTGAAGGCGTTTCCTGCCAACCAACTCAACAGTTCCCTGCTTCAATATGTGGATGACCTTCTACTCACAGGACCCACTAGAGAGAAATGCCTTAGGGGAATGAAGAGGCTCCTCCGCCTACTATGGGAAGCTGGATATAAAGCATCGAAGAAGACCCAACTCTGCCTAGAAAAAAATCAAGTACTTGGGCTTTCACCTCTCAAGAGGACAGCGGCAAGTCTGGCCAGAAAGGAAACAGACTGTGCAATCCCCCGCCCCCAAACCTGATGTCAGGTCCAGGAATTCTAAGGTGCCACGGGATTCTGCTGGATCTGGATCCCTAACTTCTTAGTCATGGCAAAACCCCTATATGAAGCCACCAAAGGGGGGGTAAACTGGAGCCGTTACTTTGGGAAAAAGAACAAGAGAGGGCCTTCCAAACCATAAAACAGAAAAAGGTCATCTGCATACTGAAGCAGGGCCCAATTGAATTGGTTGGTAGGGAACACCTTCAAGTCTCACCAATGCCCCAGCTTTGGGATCCCAGATCCCTCAAAACCATTTCTCTTGTGTGTGCATGAACAGTCAGGATCCGTGGTTGGCGTACTTACCCAAAAGTTGGGATCCTGGCACTGGCTGGTAGCATATCTATCAAAACAGTGTCCACGCCTCAAGGCTCTGGTTGCTACAGCTCTCCTGGCAGCAGAAGCCAACAAGCTGACTCTGAGGCAAGATCTAACCATCAGAGTGCCCCATGCAGTACTGACCTTGATATAAGGGGGACAGTACTGGTTCACAAATGCCCAAATGGTCAGATACCAGGGAATGCTGTGTGCAACCCCCACATCCACCTTGAGGTTGTGAGGACTCTAAACCTGGCCACGCTGCTGCCAGTTGGCCCTGGGGCCCCAGACCACGATTGCTGTGAAATAATGAATGAGGTTTGCTCCAGCAGGCCAGACCTGTCAGATCAGCCTCTCCCTGACCCAGATGTAGAGAACTTCACTGACGGCAGCAGTTTTGTCCAAGACAGGAGGCAACTGGCCAGCTACTCAGTTGTCAACTTAAATTCCACCATAGAGGCCAAGCCTTTGCTGACTGGCAGCTCTCCCTAAAAGGTGAAACTAATTGCCCTCCTCCGGGCTTTCCAATTGGCAGCAGGAGTTCGGGTGACTATCTACACGGACTCCAAGTATGCCTTTACTACTGTCCATGTACATGGGGACCTATACAGAGAGAGGGCTGATCAACTCGGGAGGAACAGGAATTACATATGGCAAGGAGATTATCCTTGAGTTGCTAGATGTTGTATGGGCCCCCCAAAAGGTGGCAGTCATACATTGCCGGGGGACCAGGAGGAAGACACTGATTGCCACAGGAAACTGGAGAGCTGACCAGGAGGCAAGTGTGCCATCTGAGAGAGTGACATGCAACCCACGAATCTAGCTCTGTTTCTGACTCCACTGGCTAACTGGGACCCACACTACTCCCAGCATGCAAAGGCATGGTTTGAGACCAAGCCTGGAGAAAACCTCTCCAGAGGGTGGCGAATGTTGGCCAGCAGGAAAATAGTCATTCCTGAATCCCTAGCTCCAGCCTTTGTAAAACAGTTTCACCAAGAAACACACCTGGGACAGACCTCCTTAGGATCCTCCCTGGATAGGCACTTCCATGTACTAAGATTGGCCAGCATTACTTGGGCTGTGTGCGAGAGATGTGAGGTCTGTGCACAAAACAACCCAACAAGGACCGAGAATGACCCCACAGGTTCAGAGCACAGGAGGCACTCCCTTTGAGAACATTTGAGAACATACTAGTGGATTTTACTGAACTGCCTCGTGTCCGTGGGTGTCAGTACCTGTTGGTGATTGTGTGCACCTCGGGGTGGGTAGAGGTGTTCCCCACCTGCACTGAAACTGCCCTGGAGGTAACCCGGATCCTCCTGCAAGATATTATTCCCCCCATTTGGGGATTCTAGTTACCATTGGGTCAGACAATGGACCAGCCTTTGTGGCCGAGATAGTACAACTGGTGGCAAAAGAGCTGAAAATTACTTGGAAATTGCATATTGCACATTGACTCCAAAGTTCAGGAAAAGTTGAAAGAATGAAAGGGACCCCAAAAAAGCAATTGAGCAAATTGTGCCAGAAACCCCACCTCCACTGGGATCAAGTATTGCCAATAGACCTTTTGAAATAAGAACCAGCCCCAGTAGACAGCAGAGCTGTCCCTTTTTGAGGTCCTCTATGGCCAACCCACCCCTCTTATTAAGGCATCAAAGGATATCTCAGGGAAGTAGGTAACCTTACCTTAAAGCAACAAGTGGAGGCGCTGGGCACCACCCTATCTTCCCTAAACCTGTGGGTCAGGGAAGGTTACCAGTCAGCCTCACTACAGAGGATCATCCTTTCAAGCCAGGGGATTTAGTATGGGTTTAAGGAATGGAATTTAAAACCCTTAAAGCCCCTCTGGAAGGGACCTTTTACTGTCATTTTATACACCCCTACTGCAGTCAGGGTGGCAGAAGTTACTCCCTGGATACATCACAGCAGATTGGAGCCCACCACCAGCCAGTGGGAGTGCGTTCCAGATGCTGCGTCTAATTATCCAGAGACAGGCCCCCACCAAACCAAAGGAACCAGAGGACTACAGCCCTGCTTTGGTCACTCCAGAAGCTGACCAATCTATGCACGGCAGAAGCAGTTTGCAAATGCATTGCCTGTACTGTTATCCATACCTGTGGGTATACTACTCCTAAAATCCAGAGGCATCCCTGCAGAAAACTCTTGTGATAAATGTGTACGGGCTACTAAGTCAGGTCAAGGTGTCACGAAAACCTTGCTGTGTCACACTTATTTCTCCTGCTCTTCAGGAGCTGTCATAGGACGGTGCAGTCACAGTAAGATCACTTACTCCATTTGTCAACAGGGAGATCAGTACACTTGTATTGAACCCCAGTATTCTTCAGCCGAGGAATGGTTAGAAGTTCAGAGACACCACAGTGGAATCTTAATTAACCAAAGTCAAATCATCAACCCCAACCTGCCAGTGTCAATATTTTTCTATGCATGTGGGGCCACTGGCAATACCTGGCCAATTTATTGTGAACCATGTGGGGGATCTGTATGGGGAGTGAGAGTACAGAGTTAATGACAAATATGTGTGTGAAAAGTCCACAGTTTGGTCCGGATGTGCTAGCAAAGATTGGTTTTACTGCCCCTACCGGAGTTATGTCTCATGCGCCGCTTGGCAAGGATCAGGGACAGCGGTAACCCTGAAGAAAGGGGTGGCCCGCTCAGACTGTACCACAGGAACCTGCAACCCTGTAAATTTCACTATTCTTTCACCCCAGAACCCTGAGTAGACCCAAGGGGCGGTCATAGGACTTCAAATCTATGGAAGGGGCACTGACCCTGGAACCCTACTTCATATCAAATGGGTAAATATAACACAGAAGTGAAACTCCTTTGAGGTCTTCCAGTCCTTTTATGAAGAAATAAGAAGTGCAGTACCACTGTCCCTGTCACCAGGATCTTGTTCCTCTCCCCAGCTGAAACAATGGTACAATCCCTTAATGTAACCCCCTGCTGTGTCTGCAGAAGAAATAACGTGGGGGATCAGTGGCCCTGGGGAGCAAAAGAACTCAATCCTAAGGAACTATACAATGAAACTTCTACTCCCCGGTCGGCTGAGGGGTCCTGGGCCTTAAAAACTTCTACCTTCAACATGTCAGTGGGAAATTTAACTTGTCTGGGTCAAAAATATTACAGTGCCTCATCCCAGGCAACCCTGCGGTGGGGCTCAACTCAAAATTATTCAGAACCCGACCCCCCATCCGCTAGCAAACTTCATCCACCTCAGTTCCACCCAGTACAACGTCGCATTAGAGGTTAAATGGAGGGCCCAGGAGGCTTATACTGGGTTTGTAGAAAAACTGCCTATGTTGAGCTTCCCCCTTTCTGGTCAAGGTCATGTGTCTTAGGAACTATACGACCCTTCTTCTTCCTATTATTTTTGGCCCAAGTTGCCGCCGCCGCGCCACCCCGCGCATGCGCGGCCGTCTGTCAGCGGCAGCCACGGGCTACCCGGAGAGGAGGCGACCCCCCCACTATCCCCAGCGCCTGCCACCCCCCGGAGTTCACGGTCCCCGAGGCACCTACCGCCTACGGACATCGTCGGGCAGTGAGATGGCCCGGGAGGACAGCGTGGGCACGCGGGCCGGAGCAGTGCGGGCAGGCATTTCGGAAGCTGCAGCAGAGGAGGCGGCAGCACAGGCGGCCCTGGCTTTTCGCGCGGAAACCGACGGGGAGGGGCGGTGAGCGGAGGCGGCGCGCACCATCCCAGCCTGGGCGCGGGGGAAGGCGGGACGTACCATGCGGCCAGAGGTCGTACCATGTACAGACGGATGGAGTGGAGCGGGCCGTGCGTAGGGAATGCGCATGCGCGAGGTGGGCATGTAGTCCCCACCCTCGCTGAGCAGTGGGCTCGTCCAAACTCTACTGTTTGCGGGGAGCCTTGCCCGAGACCTTCATTCATTCAGTCTTTCCGTCATGCTGAGGTGAGAGACCCAAGGAGATTACGGTTTTTTTTAACCAAAAAAGGGAGGGGGGAGGGTCTTTCTAGTGACGTGGCAGTGTTAGGGTATGAAGGCGCATGCGCCACCCCATCCCGCTCTATAACCAACTGGTAACCAATAAGAAAAGGTTGTTTCCTTTTAAACCTGTAATGAAACTACAAAAAGAGAGGCTCCACGGAGCCCGGGCCGACATCAATAAACGCTGCTTCTCGCCAACGTCTCGTTGTTCTGGCTCCTTGTTCGTAGTTACCTCGGTTCCCGCAACATTTTCTGGGGGCTCCTCCGGGATTCGGAGAAGGGCGTATTCACCTCCTTTGTCGCCGAGGGATTGTCCCCGGGGCGCCGGAAGAGGTGACTGGCGCCCGCAGACTTGTTCCGTAGGAGACTCACCCTTCCCGACGGGTGGAGGATATAACCCGAATGCAAAACGGAACCTGGTGAGACGTGACAAACAGTGGGGAACCTTCCCGGTCTGACTGGTAAGAACCCGGGTTCAAGGTAGACGTATCTTAAGAAACAGAAGGGGAGCCTAATCACCTCCCAGGGTCGCCCGAGTAACCCCGATCTGGGGTGAAACCGCCACCCCAAGAAAAAGGGCAAGGATCGGTATTGTGAGTCTCTAGTAAATGGTGACTGTTTGAGACCTGGTCTGGTCACCAAGCCTGTGTGATTCGCCGGTCCATGGCTATCCTCATACGGTTTAGGGCAGCCCTCTAAGGAGAGATCCTGACTGGGAGTTAGAGTCCCACCAGTGCCTAGGGTGCCTGAAATATCTCCGCAGGCGGGAGACTGAGGAAGCCTGTAATAACCTTTCTAAATAACCCCACCCCCGAACCCAATTCCTTGTATGTGTGTGTATAGGTAAAGGGAGGTATGGGTGGTCAGCAGAGTAAGCCTACCCCTTTAGAGTGTATGCTTAGAAATTTTGGGAAGGGATTCAGGGATGATTATGGTGTCAGACTTAGTCCTGGGAAACTCTGAATGCTTTGTGAAATAGACGGTCTCCTTTGAGGTTGGATGGCCATCTGAGGAATCTCTAGATAGACAGTTAATCAGTAGAGTTTCCAGGCGATCACTGGAAGTCCCGGACACCCAGACCAGTTCCCCTGTATAGCCTGTTGGCAAGATGTAGTCCTGTTCCAACTGTCCTGGCTGAAACCATGCGTAAGAGAAAAATTGTAAGATTATGATGGCCTGAGTGGTGGCTTCTTCCAAATGTTCCCCTGATCTGAAGAAGTCTGTCCTCGCCAGTGAACCGGAGGAGACACCTCCACCGTATGTTCCCTCATCCATTTACCCACCATTAACAATTGCCCCACCATCAGTGGAGTCCACAGGAGAGCCCCAGGGCAGACTCAGGTGCCTAGGGAGGTGCCACCACTCATCCACCGTTCCTGCCACCATTAACTCCAGAACCTCCAGTTTTGACTCCGTACACCTGTCTGAGGGGCCGATCTGCCTTGGTCGGGGACTCCCCTGGTAATTACAGTCCAGGAGCCCTTCAGATGCCCCTGCGTGAGGCATGTGGCCCTATCTTCTATGACTAGGAAGGACATGTTCAAGGGAAACAATGAGTCTCTACCAACCATTCACTACCACAGACCTTTTAAACTGGAAGACCCATATTCCACCTTATTCTGTAAAACTTAAGGCCATGATTGAGTTGTTACAATCTATAATTCAAACTCATAAACCCACCTGGATGGATGTCCACCAACTCCTCCTAACGTTATTTAATACCAAGGAGAGGCACCGAAAAACCCAGGCAGCCATAAAGTGACTGGAAAACCATGCCCCAGATGGAACTCTCAATGCCCATGCATATGCCCAGAACCATTTCCGAGAGGAAGACCCCCACTGGGACCCAAATGATGACCCGGATTACCAGAATTTAGAATGGTATTAGGAGGCTCTTATAAATGGAATGAAAGAAGGAGGGAAAAGGGCCAAAAATATGGCCAAGACTTCTGAGATCCTCCAGGAACCCAAAGAGAGTCCAGCTCTGTATTATGATAGGCTGTGCAAGACCTTCAGGCTCTACACCCTTTTCGAACCAGAAGTGGATGGTTAATGCTGCCTCTGTCAGTCAGGCCCAGGCAGACATTAGGCATAAGCTACAAAAGCTTGAGGGCTTCACTGGAATGAATGTTAGCCAATTAATGGAAGTGGCCACCAAGGTTTTTGTTAACCTAGATCAAGAGGCTCAGAGGGAGACTGATAGAAAGATAAGAAAAAAACATGCCGGCCCTTCCTGATGCCTCAGCAGTGCACCTTGAGAAGTCATGAGGTCGTCCATGAGTTCCAATATCTGCCAGACTGTCCTGTGGCTTTAATGGGACATGATCTCTTGGGAAAACTCCAGGCCCAAATAACTTTTGACTCCCGAGGGCACTCAACCTTAACCCTTGGGGCCTGAAGCAAAGATGATGTCTCTCATGGTTCCCCAGGGAGAAGAATGGCATCTCTTCAGTTGCCCAAACTCCACCTTGGAAATCACTGAGATGCCCTTCCAGATCCCCAGAGTCTGGGCAGAAGATAATCCCCTAGGGCTGGCCAGAAACATTCTTCCAGTGGTCATAGAACTCAAGCCCAGGGCTGAGCCTGGGTGGCAAAAACAGTATCATGTTCCTCCAAAGGCTTGGGCAGGCATTCAGACTCCTAAAGCATGGCATCCTCTGGCCATGCCAGTCATGTTGGAATACTCCGCTGTTACCTGTCCAGAAGCTGTGGATGGAAGATTATCAACCTGTCCAAGACTTAGCACAGTGAACCCAAGCACTGTCACTCTCCACCCAGTAGTCCCTAATCCCTGCACTCTGCTGGGCCGAATACCACCAGAGGCAACTTCCTTCACTTGCCTAGACTTAAAAGATGCCTTCTTCTGTATCTGCCTGGCCCCAAAAAGTCAGCTGATATTTGCCTTCCAATGGGAAAACCCTGAGTTCGGGGAACATAGGCAGTTCACCTGGACCAGGCTGCCCTAGGGCTTCAAAAATTCTCCCAGCATATTTGGGTCGGCTCGAGGCTCAGACTTGAAGGCGTTTCCTGCCAACCAACTCAACAGTTCCCTGCTTCAATATGTGGATGACCTTCTACTCACAGGACCCACTAGAGAGAAATGCCTTAGGGGAATGAAGAGGCTCCTCCGCCTACTATGGGAAGCTGGATATAAAGCATCGAAGAAGACCCAACTCTGCCTAGAAAAAAATCAAGTACTTGGGCTTTCACCTCTCAAGAGGACAGCGGCAAGTCTGGCCAGAAAGGAAACAGACTGTGCAATCCCCCGCCCCCAAACCTGATGTCAGGTCCAGGAATTCTAAGGTGCCACGGGATTCTGCTGGATCTGGATCCCTAACTTCTTAGTCATGGCAAAACCCCTATATGAAGCCACCAAAGGGGGGGTAAACTGGAGCCGTTACTTTGGGAGAAAGAACAAGAGAGGGCCTTCCAAACCATAAAACAGAAAAAGGTCATCTGCATACTGAAGCAGGGCCCAATTGAATTGGTTGGTAGGGAACACCTTCAAGTCTCACCAATGCCCCAGCTTTGGGATCCCAGATCCCTCAAAACCATTTCTCTTGTGTGTGCATGAACAGTCAGGATCCGTGGTTGGCGTACTTACCCAAAAGTTGGGATCCTGGCACTGGCTGGTAGCATATCTATCAAAACAGTGTCCACGCCTCAAGGCTCTGGTTGCTACAGCTCTCCTGGCAGCAGAAGCCAACAAGCTGACTCTGAGGCAAGATCTAACCATCAGAGTGCCCCATGCAGTACTGACCTTGATATAAGGGGGACAGTACTGGTTCACAAATGCCCAAATGGTCAGATACCAGGGAATGCTGTGTGCAACCCCCACATCCACCTTGAGGTTGTGAGGACTCTAAACCTGGCCACGCTGCTGCCAGTTGGCCCTGGGGCCCCAGACCACGATTGCTGTGAAATAATGAATGAGGTTTGCTCCAGCAGGCCAGACCTGTCAGATCAGCCTCTCCCTGACCCAGATGTAGAGAACTTCACTGACGGCAGCAGTTTTGTCCAAGACAGGAGGCAACTGGCCAGCTACTCAGTTGTCAACTTAAATTCCACCATAGAGGCCAAGCCTTTGCTGACTGGCAGCTCTCCCTAAAAGGTGAAACTAATTGCCCTCCTCCGGGCTTTCCAATTGGCAGCAGGAGTTCGGGTGACTATCTACACGGACTCCAAGTATGCCTTTACTACTGTCCATGTACATGGGGACCTATACAGAGAGAGGGCTGATCAACTCGGGAGGAACAGGAATTACATATGGCAAGGAGATTATCCTTGAGTTGCTAGATGTTGTATGGGCCCCCCAAAAGGTGGCAGTCATACATTGCCGGGGGACCAGGAGGAAGACACTGATTGCCACAGGAAACTGGAGAGCTGACCAGGAG